CTCCTTGCTACCTGCAATTCAAGATGAAGAACTCTCAGCTTTTTTTCTGGAATCATGTCTGCCAGCTTACTGCCATATTCCCCTCCATGAAAAATTATGGACTAAACCTCTGTAACAGTAAGCCAGCCCCAATTAAATGGTGTCCTTTATAAGAGTTTTGCCATGGTCATGGTGTTTCTTCACAGCAATAAAACCCAAACTAATACAAGTGTACTGGAGGAGCTACAGTGAAAGAGCAGCAGACATTGCTGTTTGGAGGAGGCAAGAGCAGCCATGGCTGTGCCTTTCTAGAAGAAACAAAACTACCAAGGAGGACCATCTTTAGTGCCAGGGTATGGGCACCCAAGACTTCTGGGGACTAGAACAATGGAAGCAAGACAAACCCTCAGATCATACTTCAGACTGTCTGATACTAGTGCCTGCACACCCTCCAGAAACTCAGGCTGGGCTAGTCGGGAGCTTCTCCAGGATTCTTTAATGTCTACTGCCAGGGTTCCTCATGATTCTGAAGCTTTTAACTATAGACTTATATAGGCTCTGAAAGCCTAGCTACTCCCAAACAGTGGAACCATAGTGTCCTACATTAAACAGGTTGAGTAGGTAAAGGACTGTGAACTCCTACTCTCTATAGGAGCTGGCCATGAGAGTAATTCAGGAGGGTGATGGACAGGGTAGGGGGATAAGTTCTTCAGGTGAGCCAAGTTTACAGTTTATTTCAGTGAAAGAGGTCTGTTATTACAGGGAGGCAGATGTGGATATACGAAAATTTCTGGGATGGGGTCCCCAAATGTAGACTAAGAAAACTCAAAGTCTTGAAAGCAGAGAGTGGTTTTCAGGGTGCTTGGCACATTCAATTTATCCATGCCACATTTCTCAGAGTTACATCCAATTCTCCTACTGTAATACCCTCTGCATACATTTACTTAGAGGAGAACACCTGGTATTTCCAGCCATGGCTTTCCATAGCCTCTGTTCCATACCAACACTTGCCCTGGGCTGGTTACTGAAAGGACTGCTAACACAGTGACTCTGGGCTTGAAGAGAGGATTGCTGGTATCCTAGAAGGACCTTAGGAGTCCTGCTGTGCCTTCTACATGGGGCTACAGGTGAAGCATGTATGGCGGACTTGCCTTGGCCCCACCTCTTGCCTACTGGCTCTTGTAACCTCTGCCTCGTGAATTCAAGTTCTATGACTCTGTACTGTCCCAGTAAACTTTCCACCTACTCCACGTGGGATCCACCTTCCTCTCTGAGAAAGGTCCCAATATTCTCTTCCCTGATAATGACACACTAGAAACAGACTTGGACCTACAGGTCTATCATACCACTGGACTAACTTCCTCCTAACTGGTTAAAGGCTGTAGCCTATGGGATCCTGTTTCTCCCTCTCCTCATGTATGAGCAAGCCTATTACGGGAGACATAGGGGACCTTAGTTAAAAATGGTAAGTTCTATAGACTCAAAGTTTGAGACAACAGAGAGGGAGTAACTCACAGAGATGTCAGAAGAACTTGTGAGAAATGTGTGTCTCGAAATTCCCTCACTAGGGCCTATGATATGACTTAGCAAGTAAGGGTGCCTGCCTCCAACCTGGTGGTCAGAGTTCAACCCCAAGAATCCACATTGTGGAAAGAGATAACTGATTCCAAATGCCACAAACAAAGTACACAGACCAAAATACACAACCAAAGACACAGATTAGCCATTTGCCAAGCAAAGGATACCTTAGGAGGCCACCCATACTGAGGGGCCAGCCCAGAGTGAGGGGATCTGAGTTAGGCTGGACCTGCAAGTCAGAGGATAATGGAGCTAATGGATCTTTTCTCTTAGTGTTTTTGTAGCTGTAGCTGCTACTGGACTTTTGGATGATAATATAATATATTCATGTTGTCAAGTATCTGTGAGTGTGCTAAGCACTAGGATATGACACATTGGCATCCTTAAACAGGGCACTATACACAGTTATTAGGGTATACAGAAATTCCTGGTGCATTCACCATGCCTCATTTGACTTTAGCAGTCCCCTGAGTTGACTTCACCATACACATACATAGGTGAAAGGCAGGTTGGATTTCCTTGCAAATGGCATGTATGCTCTGAGCCTGTCAGCAACTTTCAGGCCCTTATCAGAAGTTCAGCCAGAATGGCTCAGAGTGTGTATAGGCCCAGAGTGTGTGCTGAAGTAGATGATCCCCACCCATCCACACCTCTTCCTGGGCCTCTCCAATCTGATAGTGTAAACTTCATTGACATATTCATAAGCCTTTCCAGTCCAATCCCCTGAACTCACCTTACCTGTGAATCCTGCTGTGGGTTACTAGACTCTAGCAGGTCACCAGGGTTCTCCATGGAGCAAGATCTGCCTGACTCACTCATGGCTACTGTTTGGGATATTCTTGTTTGTATTCCTGGGCTTAGAATCAGTGACAATTGTAAGAAGGATGGAGTTGCATCCTATTCCCCTCCCTCATCTCACCCTATTCAGCAACATACTTGGGGACATCAAATTGTCAGAGCCTGTAGAGGATACCCAAGATTACTTAGAGCAGATGCATTGGCTGAATGCTTTGTGTCACACCTGTGAACGCAGAACCCAAGAAGCTGAGATTTCAGTCCATTTTGGACTACAGGTAATATTCTGTCTCAAAAACTGACATGAAAAGCAGATAAAAAAGAAATGTGTTCACTTAATTTGAGTTCTGCCAATGGTTCCTGTTCTAGGGTATGGCCATTTAGCTAAACCAGAACAACATTTTACGAGATTACACAAGATTTCATTGATTTTCTTAGAAGATAAAGTTTGTGGGCATAGCCAGGGTCTAAATAGAACCATTTCAATATTTATTGTCTGTTACAATAACTGTCAGACATCAGTGGCTGGTGCCATTAGTAAATAAATGGACAAAGGTGCTGTGTGGTAAAATAAGCCTTTGCTTGTAGGAAGCAGGTCACAGGAGACAGGATGAGCATTTGGGCTCATGGAGATGTTGAAAAATGCTCATTGGTGGCCTTGACATCATTCATAAATGTGACACCCAAGATGCTAATTCACATGGATCAGATTGGGGAGGTCAGCAACAGAAGGGTCACCAGGCCAATTTGGGGCTTTTAACTTTTGTTGTTGCAACTCATCAAGTATGTCAGCTTCTGCAGTGTCAGAAAGTGCTTCCTTGGGGACAGGGAGTGGCTGGAGGTGAGAGCTGGAAGAAATCACACACCCACACTCACACACACACATACACACACATGAGAGAGAGAGAGAGAGAGAGAGAGAGAGAGAGAGAGAGAGAGAGAG